TGGAGGACTGCATCTGTGACTTGGCCCCAGTGTGTTTAGATCAGTGCGTGACAGGTACCCAGATTTCCTGTTCTCCACACACGTCTGTAATCAGTCTGCACGTTTACTGGCAGATCCCACTTCCCTTCTATGGAATGCAGCTGATTATAGTGGGCAGGGAAGCACAAGTTTGCTGCACTGTGACCCGCTGCTTCTCCATGGGGACCAAGGCAGAGAAGGTAGTCTCAGGTCCGTGGCGAGATTTGTTCCAGATTCAGTTACTATTAACTGAGCATGAACTAAAGACACCAGCTTCTGTGCAGGAACTCCTTGCAACTTCCTAGTAACAATGAAGTAGGGATGGCATTATTCTAATCTGCAGATGAGGAAACTGAGGCACCAGGAGGCAAAAGGACATGCCCACATCACACAGGCAGTAAGTGGTGGAGCCCTTGTGACCCAGGACCCACATCCTTCTCCACAGGACACTGCCTGTGAGAACACATCTCCCTGGGCAGCGGAGGAGACCTGAGATAGAGCATTGTGCAAGGGTCAAGATACGCAGGGCAGAGGAGGGGCTCAAAGCCAGGACACGGCACGTCAAGACTCCCACAGTCAGACCCAGGACATGTGGGTGTTTTGATCCCTGAATGGGATGTCAAAAGGCTAGCCACACAGTCTGTAGGTCTGCAGAAGGTTATTTACAGACATAGCATTATGATGCATCAAGATGGGGACTTTGGAGTTGTGGGGACTTGAAATGTAAGAAACAAGTCTTCAAGGGGAGCTTCTTGCCACACAGGTGTTTATAAGTGAAGGATGGGGTGGATCCATATGGTAAGCACTGGACTGAGAACTATATGGTCCATGGTTCAAGCCTGCCAGTCACTCTGCAGGAGAAAGATGAGGCTTTCTACTCCCACAAAGACTTAAAGCCTCAGAAGGCTATAAGGCATAACCAACTTGATGGTACTCAACAACAATGGAATGAAAAGTCGTTGTATCCTAGTTAGACAGGATTGCTATCAAGTTAACGCCACCTCATGGCAACTCCACAAAACTGTGCTCTGTAGGGTTTACAGTGACTGAGTTTGGGGAGCTAGGTCACCTTTCTTCTGAGCTTCTCCATCATCTCTGTCTGTGTCCAAGACAGGCACAGGGAAGAAGGCATGAGCATAGCTCTTTCTACAACACTGGTGAGAACTCAGCGTGTTCTCATCCTAGAGGCTTGATGTGATATAAGTGTAATGATAGCTGAGATCAAATGCATTTAGGTGGCATTTACCAGTAGGATTAAAATAGCTCTGTGCTGTGAAAATAGTGCTTGTGGAATATCAGTGCCTGCCAACTTATTAGAAGCCCCTGAGATTGGGACATTATGGCCAGTGGGTGGGAGGTGCCTGTCCACTCCAGGAGGCAGTAGGCTAATCCAGGTTGGGGAGAAGCCGTGAAGCCTTCGGCTCTGTGAGAGCAATAAAGTAACATGGTCTTCTGCTCTGATTGGTCCCTCAGGTGGAAGTGATAACCAAAGACGCTCTTCCCACTAAGGCACCTGGAGCAAAGGAAGAAAGTCATTTCTTAATTGGTTCCACAGACATCAGGGTCCTGGTGCAGCACTGTAGGATAAGCACTGGACTGCTAACTGCAAGGTTGGCGGTTCCAACCCTCAAATGGCTCCTCAGAAACCCTCTACAGGGTCGCTATGAGTTGGAACCGACTCAACAGCACTTAACGATGACAACAGCCCTGTACATCAGGTCAAGTAATTTTCGTATTTTCTAGCCACACCAACAAAAATTACACCATCCTAGGAGGCAGGTGGGAGCCCTGGCGGCACTGCTAACAAGGAGGTTGGTGTTTCTAACCTCCACGGAAGAAAGACTTGGCTGTCTGGTCCTGTGAAGATTATAGCCTTGAGAACCCTATGGGTTCTGCCGAGGGGCTATGAGTCAAAAGTGACCGGACAAGGTAGGTTTTCAGCTCAGGAGGTGAGCGTAAGATAATGGAGTAACAATGAGTGTTCGCTCCGCATGCTGATGGTGCAGAGTCTCCTTGATGGTGCTTGGCCCATGTCATCTTTCATATTAAAAAATTAATAACGGCAGCTGTGGAGTTGATGCCAACTCTGTGTGTGCCATGGGGTTTTCAGTGGCTCATTTTTCAAAAGGAGATTACCAGTTGTTTCTTCTGAGGAGCCTCTGAGTAGATTCAAAGCTTGTAACCTTTCATTAAGCAGTTCAGCACTTTAACCGTTTGCACCACCCAGGGACCTCAGTCCTGTGTATTGGGGGACCTCATTTCCTCTGCTCCCACAGAAGCAGAGATGAGTGAGGCCAGCCATCTTACCGTGCTGTGCAGTGTAGAGCTGGTGGTCAGATTAGGCTGGTGCTTGGATGCAGAGCACAAACCGCCATCCCAATACTTACCCCATTGGATGGAGCCCATTCAAAGGTAACCACAAAAGAAGGAACAGAAGACCTTCATCATAGCAAAGCATCGTAAAGTCATAGCGTGGTGGAGATTTCAACTCACCATTTCATGGTGCCATTTTTACTGGTGAGCTGGTTCCTTAAACAAACTAGACTCAGATTGTTGTTGTTGTTAAGTGCCGTCGAGTCAGTCCCAACCCATAGCAACCCTGTAGAGGGTTTCCGAGGAGCAACTGGTGAGCTTGAACCACCAACCTTGCAGTTCTAACGGCTTTGCAGTCTGGCGTATTAAACCACAGTGCCACACCAGAACTCCTGACTCAGATTAGTGCAAGCAAAAAGTAGCTCCATCTTAAATCCTGTAACCATCCTGATTATAACCAGCAAATCATATCCTAGGATACATCTGAACTGCCAAGTCACTGAGAATCTTGGCTCAGTCAAGCTGACACAAAGCCTTAACTATCAAACTGCCTTTCTCATTAGCCAGTATTCAGAGAAGCATGTTGTCACTGGGGTCTTTTTCAAACTACTTTGAAATTCTTTTATTACACACTTGCTAGTATACAGATTTTTATCATCTATACTGAAGTATAGGAAGACTGTAGAAGAATTAACGCATTTGAGCTATGGTGTTGGAGGAGAATGTTGAAAATGCATTGGGCTGCCAAAAGAACCAACAGATCGTGTTGGAAGAAGTGCAGGCTGGCCAAACTACTTCGGACATATCGTCAGGAGGGATCAGTTGCTGGAAAAGGATATCATGTTTTGTAAAGTGGAGGGTCAGAGAAAAAGAGGAAGACCCCCAATGAGATGGATTGGGCAAGTGGCAATATGGATGGACTCAAGCATGGTAACAGTAGTGAGGTTGGCCCAGGATCGGGCAGTGTTTCATTCTGCTGTGCATAAGATTGCTATGAGTCGGTACCTACTCTATGGCACCTAACAACAATACTGAGGTAAACAACCTTTGTCTCTTAAAGGTTCCAATCCACTGTCATCAAATCAATTGCAACCCATAATGGCCCTGTAGGACAGAGTAGAACTATTTCTTAGTGTTTCCCAAACTTCAGATTTTCACAGGAGCAGATAACCTCATCTTTTCTCCTGAAGAATAACTGGTGCATTTGAATCGTCAACCTTATCTAATGAACAGCCCAGATCTTAACCCACTATCCCATCAGGGCTCTTTCTAAAGGTCCAGATAGTCAATATTTTTGTCTCTGTAGATGCTGTGGTCTCTGTTACAACTATTCAACTCAGTCATGCACAGAATCAGCCATAGGATAGTCCATAGATAAATAAATGTGGCTGTTTATCAATAAAACTTGTATTTACAGAAAAGATAGTGGGCCAGATTTGGCTTACAAGCCATAGTTTACATCTGTAAACTTTATCTTTACAGACACAAGAAGACATTGGCATTTTATCATCCACAACTGAATGCCCATCACAAGCTCCATCACTGGTTCACCAGTGTGGATTAATTTGCACAGACAGATACGATGGTAGTTTCCTCCAGAAATCCAAGGATAGAGGAATACAATCAGCTTACAGTCAAGTGGCCAGACATCTATTCCGGTCCTCTGACTGAAATTGGTTCTGTGTAGGAAATGTGACTGTCTTATGATTTTGTTTGATTGTTGCTGTGAGTATGGCAACACTTAGAAAGCAGGAAGTTGAATGGCCATCTTTAGCAGATTCCATGTTAGATTAACTATGAAATCAGTTAACCTGGAATTTCTCCTAAGTGTGAAATGATGGGTGAAGGCTGAGAGGGTGGGATGGCTCATTGGCAAGATATAATTAGGATATAGCAGGTTACATTATAGATATGTTCCAGTTGGTATTATGATTACAGTGTAACTTGGAAGAGGATTAGAAATCTAGTGATTTCCACATTAAACTGTCTTGGTATACTCAGGTGTTGAATTTTTAAAACATAATCTACATTTTTCAACTAAATTGATACTGGAATTAGCAAAATATAAAACCCCAAGCCATTGGAGTTAGAGATGACCCCTGTTCCTATATGGCAGGTACAAAGGGATAATATTTTAGCTTGACTTTTACTATTTAACGTATTGCACAAAAAGCAAGACAATGGTCCCAAACCAGTGCAGAGCTCTGAAAGTGCCTCCTTCCTTCCATTAGATCATATGTGCACACGCCATGTTTGCATGTAGATCCCATGATGCCCTGGTGTCCTAAGGTTGCTGTAACATAAACCACAAGTGGATAGATAGCTTTAAACAATAGAAATTTATTGTTTCACAGTCCTAGTGGCTGGAAGTACAAATCAGGGTCTTATAAATCCTGATTCCTATTCCTTCTGCCCTGATTGCTGGTTTCCGCCACTGGTATTCCTTGGTAGTCTTGACCTTTGTTTTCCTACTGTGTGTCTATGTCTGTTGTGCTTTTTTAATAACTCAGAAGATATTTGGTGTGGGACTCATTCTGCTCTAGTATGGCCTCATTAACAGGGTAATATTTCTGGACACCGGGGTTCGAGTTTTAACGCATATTTCCAGGGAACACGATTCAGCCTATAACACCTGGTAAGAGACCTTTTCCCTTCCTGCCTGCAGGTGGATGGTTTCTAGCCTGCTTCCAAACCCCACCTCGGCTGAGTGCTGGGCAGCACTTCTACATGATCACATGACTCTTGATATGGACGCGGTCCTGTCAGACTTTGTTAGGTCCACAGGGGCAGAACCTGGTCTGGCCAGAGACCTGCTGGAAGGTAAGTCCACCTTCTTATCACACACATTACCCCTTGGGCACGGGTGACAGTAGAGTGAGATTTCTCATCCCTGACAATGATGTCTAACATTTTGAACTTTAAAAGGAATATGGCAGTGTCGGTGATGAAAGCATTATTGTTATTCTTGACTTTCCTTTGGGCGTGGAATAGACCACCCTAACTTTCTAGGAGCTCTGGTAGCATAGTGGTTACGAATCGGGCTGCGACCCGCAAGGTAAGCAGTTCGAAACTGCCAGCTGCTCTGTGGGAGAAAGATGAGGTGATCTGCTCCTGTAAAGATTTACAGCCTCGGAAACCCTGTTCAGGGTCGCTATGGGTCGAAACCGACTCGACGGCACTTAACAACAACAACAACAACAACTTTCTAAAGTAAAAGTGTAGAAGGCATTTTCTTGACTTTACCTTTGAATATTATAGGGATTAAGACCAAATATATTGACAAGTGTTTTTCAAAGAAAATATACTTAGTAAAGCAGAAATTAGAGAACCTTAAAGAAAAAGAAAAAAAAAACACTTTTATTGGAGATTTTAGGTTTTTAATATCTGTTTTAGTTGAGATAAAAATACTTTAGACCAAAGTACTTTAGACAAAACCACCACTTAATAGAGCAAACAAATCTGTATTGGAAGAAGTGGAAGAAGTTCAACCAAAATGTCCCTTAGAAGCCAGGATGGCGAGACTTCATCTCTCATGCTTTACATATATTGTCTGAAGGGACCAGTCCCTAGAGAAGGGCATCATATTAGGTAAATTGGAGGGTTAGTAAGAAAGAGGAAGACCTCCAACGAGATGGATTGGCACAGTGGCAGCAGTGATGGGCTCAAACTTAACAACATTTGTGAGGCTGGTGCAGGACCAGGCAGTGTTTCATTCTGTTGTGCATAAGGTTGCAGTGAGTTGGAATTAACTTGATAGCAACTAACAACAAATAGTCAATAAACTAATTTGGAATAATTTACAGGTTGTTATTATTATTAAGTGCCGTCTAGCTGTTTCTGACTCATAGGACCCTGTACAGGGTTTCTGAAGCTATTAATCTTTGCAGGAAAGGATCTTTCCCATCCCTCTGTACACAAGATTGATAGGGATGGGCAACTTAGA